ACGGCATGAAATGCTTTTCACGTATGGCTCTGGACTGTAAATTCTCTGAAGGCTTCTCATTTTTTTTTTTCTTACATAAATGGAAGTGTAGCTGAGCTTTATTAATCTGAAGGTCCTGGATGAAGCACTCTGTGCCTTAAAAAGGAAGCTGAATTGCACAGAAGATCAAGAACTGAACTTTCCTTTTGTTCCTGTAGGCAGTTGGAGAGAAGAGAATGGTATGTGCAGGCTAGGGCATGCGTTAATATCTTGATTATATAGATGAAATTAGTTTTGTAAAGGTAACTGTAATAGGGTATATTTTAGATAATCACCCAGAAGGTAGGAACACATTATGCTTGTTGCTACAGAGTAGGAATAAGTAGGTGTCACAACTGGATAGATAAGTCAACAGCAGCAGTTCAGGTCCTCTTGATAATCAGGGAGTCCAGACAAGGCTGCCAGCGTTTCTACTCTATTTTTCTGAAAGATTTTTGCTGAGGGAGCACTTGGGACTCCTGTGCAGGACAGCCATGTAAATAAAGCCTTTCTTGCAAGTGATGGGCCTCAGTGCTACCGAAACCATTCTGTTTTCTAGGTAATTGCATGATTCGAGTTACAGTTTGGGGCTGGGATTCTGTTTTGTTATTTTTTTGGAGTAGAAGTTGAGATCTGATCAGCAGACATGGTTGAACTTTTGATAAGTCACTGATAACTAGCATCTTGGCCTGTAAATGATTCGCTTTTTCTTCTTATACCAAGTAGAGATCCTCTTCTCTAGTTATGTTAGAACAGGTGAAGAAGATTTGCTTAACAATTTGACATTGCTTTGCTCTGTAAAGGAAGGGTTTCATAATGAAATAGTTATTGAATTAAGCAGTGCTTCCCACATATCTTGGTATGTGCTTGATCTGTTTTCAGTAGTTTTCATTTTTTTGGTGTGGCGCTGATAATAAACTGGGAAATCAAAGACTTTGTGATCACTTGGCGCTACTTAAAAAGGGACGTTTCTCTCTTCTAAGGTGTTATGGGGTGTGATCTATTGTAGGTATTGGATTTGTATAATTGATAGCTTTTTGCCTGTGTCTCCCTCTTGGTTCAGTCAGTTGAGGTGTATGTGCACGTGTGCACCTGTGCTTCATGCTGATGTCTGCTCTGTAAGGATAAGTTTGCTTGTTTTCCCTTAAAAGAGGGACTTAGGCTATTTTGTAACATGCCTCAGTACTCATACTGCAAAGTCTGGAAAAAAGTGAAGTGCAACTGTGAAGACGGCTCTGCAGGCGCACACCAAATGCAGGCAGACTTGGACCTCCATGCCAAGCCTTGCATCTCTCAGTTGAGGGATCTCGCTTCCTAGCTCTGGGTCCAAGAGAGGAGGGAGAAGGCTGTGAAGAGGAATGTCCTGAAAAGAAGTCACATGGTCAGCTTTTAATTTCGGAAGACACTGCGTTATCTTCCTGATGGCTTTGTTACAGGGAGGGAGGAAAAAAGTAAAAGGGTGAATGTGCCATCAGACATGCTGGAATATTGGATTGTGCTTCAGTGCTGCATACAGTGCTGCTTGCTAGCTCCCAAGCTGATCACTTACATTTTGCATTTCATCAGTTATGCATTTTTAAGGTGGCAGCCTCTGTAGAAGTTGTGAGGGACTCAAATGTGGGGCTAATCCTTTAGAGACTTCTTGAGTTACTTGTGAAAGTAGCAGATATTGCAGTTGTCTCTTACTCATCTTTTTTCTGGCCTTTTCTGTTCTTTTTTTTTTTTTTTTTTTTCCCTTCTGCCTGTCTCTCCCGCTGACTTAGTGTGGGGGTAAAAGCTTAAGGTTTGTACTAGCAGGAAGCTGATGGTGTGGCATGAAAAGAAAACACAATGCACTCCTTGCGTTGTAAGATAAACACTGCTATCAGCTCCTACTTCAGCGCTGTTCAACCTCTGTTCATCCAAATTTCTGCTAGGAGCTGTGTAAGAGGTCCCAGGTCTCTGCTCCCCTGCGTGGGAAAAGAGTCAGGCCTCCCTGTCCCCACAGTGATGCTCGTGGTCAAAGAGATGTGAGCCCCGGCAGCCGGTCACTGCGCCACTGGGCTGTCGCTGTCTCCTGAGGAACAGGATGAATTGTGCCCGTATCCCAGAGAATGCATTGGGTTTAAAAATCCATGGGATTACTTTCCTCCCCCTCACCAGTACATTATTAATTTAATTGCTTTTTGGTTTCTGAAGAATTTTGGAGGAGGCAGGGAGAGGGTGGAAAGATCTATTTTAAACTGCCCTCTTCTTTAATTCATATCTTGTTCGTGATGTATTTTTACCAGCAGCGCTTTGCAATCCAGCTGCCACTTCTAAGTGTCATTTACTTGAATAAAAATTGTAATTACATTTCTAAGTGTGTCATTAGCACTGAAAGTAGTAACTGAATCATGAAGTGCTGTTTGAACAGCAGCTTTCCCATGACAGGAAGCTTATGAAGTCCAGGGTATGCTATGCTGTAATATAAGTGTAGCAAAAATACTCAAAATCCCTTGTTTGCCAGTTTTCACATCTCCCATTACGCTTTTTATTAGGGAAATACCTACTTATAAATCCCCCATATTAAATAAAAATGGATGAACAATATTTGGTTATCTCATTTTCTCTGACATTGATGGTGTCTTTTGATTGAAATCTGTAAGCCAGTGCTTCCCAGTGCTCCTCGAAGAATAGTTGCTCATGCATCTGTTAACCATGTGCCTTGAAAGGGGGTTTGTTGGACTCCAGTAGGTTTTTTGCGGGATTAATACCATCAAAAGCTTTTTCAAAGGATTGTTCGATTCAAGTTAAAAGCTCATGCTGATGTAAACCTCCCATCTTTTTGCCAGTAAAAGGGGTAAAGGAAAAAATTTTGCATTCACGTTTTCCTAGTACTCAATAAAGAGAAGTATGTCACTTGAACAGATGGATCAGCTCTCACTTTTTATAGTCCCAGTTTGTTGAACATCAAAAGAGGGGTTGTACTGTCATTTTAAGTAATGAAACTAAAGTCTGCTGCATCTTCCTTTTGATACCGTATCCTTAAATTGCTGTTAACAAATTTAATTTGAATCATCATTGGTTTTTGTACAACGGTGTGACAATGTAAATCCAGATTACCCACTGATCCCTGGGCTGAACCACATTTGTAAACCTTCAGGTACCATCCTAGTTAGCAGAAGATTCAGTTATTTACGGTCTGCTGAGGTTTTCCAATGCTGATGTCTTTATCCTAAAGAAAAGAGAGAAGAAGTTGCTGCCAGGACTGTTGTCTGTGACTAATTCTCAGTTGTTGTTCTCTAGCAATTTGAGTGTCTCTTAAGGATGTGCCTGTTGGTGTCCGTCAGCAGTAAGTGTGTGTGTGCTGTAAGTGGGAGTGTCCCTGTTTTTCCATGAGCTATGCCATTTTCAAACCTTACAGCTGATGTTTTGCTGTCTCTTACCTGGCATCAGTAATAAACATGTCCTGCAGCGTCAGATTTTTGGTGTTTTTGGTTGTGCGTGGACACGTGTCTTGCTTTGCCCTACCTGGCGCGTGCGGGCATAACCTCTGGTCATGGCAGGTACGTACGTGTTAGTGCAGCACGCAAGTAGAAGCTGTCAGAAGACCCGTCCATCGTCTTGTATGTTCACAGCATATGAGTTTTGTGCAAATGGGAACCAGCACCTCAAAAGCTTCTCCAGTTACCTTTTTAAAGTTTATTAACACCTTTTCATTTACAGCTTTTAACCTGCCTTTTGTTCATAGCAGAGATGAAGCCTGGGCCTTGCCTCTGGACAACTTGCATATGACATCCTGTAATAAAACTTCTTCAAACAGAATATTGGAAAAAGCCAAATATCAGCACTGCTCTGTGTATAAGCAACAGTGCTTGTAAAAATGCATACGTAGCTGTTTATCTTGTTGCCAAGGTTGGGATTCACATGTAGCTGCACAGCTGGAGACTTGTCCACAGCGTCCGGGCTTAAGTCCCTTGGAAAATTAAGCCCCACTTAAACTTCCTGTTAAAGCCAGGAGGGGCAGAAGTTCAACTGACGTAAACCTGCGCTGAATGAGTAATTCACTTTGTGGACTCTCTGGAGAAGAATCTTTTCAGCCTTCTCTGTGGATGCCTTTATAAAAAATTGAGTACTCTTAAAGTTTTGTACTAAATCAATAAATAACTTAATACAGAGCAGCTGTTGATCATAAACTCTGGGGTTTTCGTACACTCAAATTTCAGCCAGAGGATAAATTTCTCACTTAGGGAGCAGACAACTGCCTTTGTCAACTATTCAGTCTCTCAATTCTAGCGTTTCTTATCAACAAAAGACAAGGAACACCTTCCCGAACCCTGCCTGTAATGCCAAGAGAGCGACAGAAATGTGTCCTGGTTTATATCTGTGAAGAACAGTGAGAGCGCACTCCCTTTGTGATGAACTACTGAGCTTTCTACCAAATCCCCAGGGAGGACCTCTTCCTGAGTTTTAAATTGACCCTAAACTTGCCCAAATTGAGGCAGGAACATTCCTTTAATTCCCCTGGCAGTCATGATGCTTAGTCAGCTAATTTTGCCTTATGTGGCCCATTTGTAGACTAGAACTCCCAGGAACCTCTGGTCTTTAAAACCTTGACTTTGTGACAAAGTAATGACAGTACAGGTCTCTGGATCAACACCTCCTGAAGCAAACAAAAATTTCGTTTTGTTACTGAACAGTTGCTTTGATATCAGTCTTCCTGTGAAGCTCCCCACTCCATTGTAACTATTTATCTAGCCTTCAATGTGTGGAGGACAGCTTGGAAGTGTGACCCACGTGCATCCAAAACCCTAGAAACTTGAAAAACTAACTGTATAAAATATATATAAAAATATATTCACCTTTTACGTTTCATGTTTTCTGTTTCATTTGGAGTGGTATTATACTTGGATGATTTTTCTAAGAAAAATTTGGTTTTTTAAGAAAACGAATAGAAACAAGTATTGCAAAACAGTGACCAGATTTTTTCCTCTCTCTTTTTATCCTTATTTTAGGAAGGCATGAGGTGCGGTCCTGGACAACAGCCACCAAGCAATCCTTGTGTCTCATGTGGCAAAAAGTGAAAGTGCAGCTAATGCTAAGCATGTCTTTCCTTGTTGCTGTTTTTTGGTATTGCAGAAGACTATACAGCTTTTTAGCACAGATACTGAAACGGTAGGTTTTTATTATGCAGACTTTAATCTTCCACACTGTTACTTATTCAGTAAATATTGACCTTTGACAACAACTCTTTGACGCCTGTTTTATCATTTGGTTTTCAGGTGGAGCAACTACCTTCAGAGAAAACTCATAAGTAATCTTTTTGTTGTCACTCCGTATTCCTTAATTCCTGCCCGCCCCTACCCTTTAAATGCAGAACAGCAGAAGGTAACTAATCTGTGAATTAATCCTCAATTTAGGGAATCTCAGTGTGCTGACAGAAGTTGATCTACTTGTTTACAGCGCGAGAGAGTGGAAAGGAGAAACAAAGCAGGCCAAACACATGAGGGAGGTAAGAGTTAAAATTTAATCTCTGCATGAGGATGGCAGGGAGGGAGAGGTACCTGGGAAAGGAACAGCACTCCCGGTGCCGCAGCCAGCAGAGCCTGCTACACCAGCTGGCTAAACGGAAAGCAGAAGGGAGAGCGTGAACATGGGTCTAAATAAAGACTAGAGTAGAGCAGGTGAAAATGTAGATCAGGTTTTAGTCTTACATCTTCTCCAAATTCCCCCCTGTAGCACCAGCGACCCCCGCAGCAGCTTTAACAGGAAAATCGTCCCCAGTGCTACAGCCCAAGTAACTTGGTCTTAGGTGCTATCTCTTGGCCAGCCCTTGATTTAAGGTTGATTTAACTCTCATTCCGGGGAGGAATGAAACCCCACACCCATTCCTCTTCCAAGCTGTGAAGCTCCACATGACAGGAGCCAGTGCTCGGCACCCTCCCCAGCAGCCACCGAGACCCCCGTGTCCAGCTGCAGGAGCTGCAGCTGGGGGCAGGCAGGGAAGGAGCTCACATCTGACCTGTCCCGGGTTAGGTCGGCGCTCCGCAGGCAAGGACCAGCGCGCTGGATGGTGGCCATCCCCTGCCTTCATGCAGTGTCCCTCTGCTCCAGCTCTGCACCCTGGGCTGCAAGCAGGACACACACAGTTTAACTACACCCGGCAATT